TTTTTTTTCCTTCATATTTAAAGCCAGCAAAGCAAGGTTGAGTTGTACTTGTTCTTCAACTCTCTCCTGTTTCTTTTCAATCATATTTGATTATTTTTTCTCTTCCACTTCTAACAGCCTAATGTATTTAGATTGGCCTACCTGGGTAATTGAGGTTAATCTCTATTTCAAGGTTCATAATCTTAATTAACCTTGAGCTTTGAAGCTATTGTTCCTGGGTCTAAATCCTGGCTCTACCATTCACCCACTAGCTTTGAGACCTTGGCAAACTCACCTAAATTCTTTGTTTCTTAGTTTTATCATTTTAAAATGGCAATAATAATAGTATTTACTTATGAATTGTTATGACTGCTACATAGAACAACGTGAGAAGGTGCTTAGCACAGTGCAAAGTATATCATAAACTTGGTAAGCGTTGGTTCTTATTATTTTGCATGTCTCATGCATGAGTATCTCATCAGTCATAGTATATATATATACCCAACCTATGATTCCATCATAGAAGGATTTAAATGTGATAGTCAAAGCTTATTATATACAGTGTTGGTACATGGGAAATATAAATAAAAGTTAATAACAGCAATGAAACTTTTTAAGTCTTCACATTTTAATAAAACCTGTTCATTGTAGGCTTTAGTTTTCTTGATACTGTTTTGATAAGTTTTGGCAACTCTTGTGAGTATTCTGAGTTATGAGACATTTTGGTCTCACTTGGAATATATTCTTTTAGGAGTCAGAATCTACTAAGGATCTCTTGGTGTAGCTTCCTTTTCCAACTTGTATCTCTTCTTACTCTCTATCTCAAAGGTTAATGTACCACAGTCTATCAGAATTTTGTTTTGAGGTACTCCCAATTCTTTTGAGTTGTTTTCCTTTATAGACACCAATCACAGGATTATATTTCTGTTTTTATTCAGCTTCTCAAAATGCAATTTAGGTAAATTTACTGAAATGCCAAGGGGAAAACTTGAGAGATATTTTAGAATGTACTGTCCGATATGTAGTGATTAGCAACCTGTGACTCCTGAGCCTTGAAATGTGGCTAGTCCAGATTCAGGTGTGCTATAAGTATGAAAGACACATTCTAAGACAGTATGAAAAAAATAACCATTTCATTAATAATTTTGTATTGATTATATGTGAAATGATGTTTTCAATATATTCAGTTACATCAACTATATTATTACAATTCATGTCACATGTTCCTCTTTAATTTTTTAATGTGGCTTACATTATTTTTATTTTTATTGGATAGTATTTCTTTAGAGAATCACAAGAGACGTATTCAAGCATATTTAAGGCTCTGAGACATCATGCCATAAAGAAAACTGTTTAATATGAAAAGGAATTCTTTGACCAAGTTGTTTGATCACAGGACATTTACTTAATTCTAAGGATTTAAGAGTTCTGAGGATTAATTTTTGGGAAGTTATGGTCTAAAAAATATCGAATTAACCCTAGAATTCCTTCTGCTAGCTCTAATTAAATTGAACACACTGTGATCATTTTTTTTTCTCTTAAAATCCAAACATATCCACCTCTGGTTTTTAGTGCTTAGTAACAATTTGGTTGAGGCTAATGTTTTTGTTTCATATTTTTCTACCTTTTGAGAGTCTAAATTCCATGGAGTGCAAATCATGTATTTATTATGGGGTTTACTTTCAGTTAATTGAATCTTCCAGCTCATATCTGGAAAGCAGCCCTCTTCCCCAATGACTTAAGCATTGCTCTGTCTTCACTACCTTTTTCTGAGGGCAAGCCTCACTCCTCTCTTTCCAGACTACCACAGTATACCTCTAACTGGCCTCTCGCTGACACTTTTGCTGCTCTCCAAACCATATTCCACTCATAGACCATTCCAGAATAATCTTTTAAAATAA